GGGCAATGGTAACTGCTCTCTTATTTACAACACCATCCAGCACCCAGCACACTGCCTGTCATGAAATGAACAAATGAACAAGGTCTTTAAAAAAATAATAATAATAATAATAATAGACTTTTCTTTTCTTTTTTTTTTTTTTTTTTTTTTTTAGCAATTTCAAGGTTACAGAATCACACTTTGCATTGCTGTGATACATTTGTCCCAACCAATGAGCCAAACCTGACTACATTATGATCACCTAATGCCCACAGCTGACATTAGAGTTCACTCTTGTTGCTGTACATTTCCTGGATATGGACAGATGTATAATGCCATGCTTATCCACCGTTACAGTATCATAAAGAATAGTTTCACTGCCCTAAAAATCTGCCTAATCATCCCTCCCTCCCCACAACCTCTGGCAACCCTTGATCTTTTTCCTGCCTCCATACTTTTGGCCTTTTCCGGAACGTCCTATAGCTGGAATTGCACAGTATGTAACCTTTTCTGATTGGCCTCTTTCATTTAGTAATATGAAATCATGTTCCTCTGCGCCTTTTCATGGCTTGATAGCTCATTGCTTTTTAGTGCTGAATAATATTCCATTGCTTAGATATACCAAACTTTATTTCCCCACTGACCTACTGAAGACATCTCGGTAGATTCCAAGTGTTGGCAATTATCAATAAAGCTGTTTTAAATATCTGTGTGCAGGTTTTTATGTAGACTTAAGTTTTCAACTCCTTTGGGCAAACACCAACAAACATAATCGGGAATTTTGTACAAATGTGCAAAGCTGTCTTCCCAAATAGTTGTACCGTTTTTGCAATCCCATTAGTAACACATCCCGTTGCGACCCATCCTCGCCAGCATGCGGTGTTGTTGGTGTTTTGTATGTTAACCACTCTAACAAATTATGTAATTAAAATGTGCAGTAGGAGCTCATTTACTTTTCACTGAGGGAAGGCCAATGACACACTGGATACTTCTTCAGCCTCAGTTTCATCTGCACACAGAATCTGTGTCCACAGGTCTGAGATGAGACCCCAACACTTGTGTTACTTGTTACTTTGTGATTTTGTGAAAATCAATGATTTTGGAGCTACTGGTTTAACCAGGGAAATGAATATTTTGAAATGTCAACTATGACATATCTTATTTGTGCTTGTATTTAGATTAGTGATTTCCTGGTGAGCTATAGCAGATTTTACATGCTGTGATAGAAAGAACAAATCACAATCATTTCCAGATAGGCAGGTCATTGCTTAGTAATGACATACTGAATTCTTAAAAAAATAAGTATGCATCACACCACTGATTTCTGGGAGACTCTATTGTGTGCGCACATGTGTGTGTGTGTATGTGTGTCCTTCTATGAACGGTATACTACCCAGTAACTGTTTAGAGATCTAAGGTATTTTTCTCCGTACTGCAGACAGATTTACAGGCTTACAAGGAAAAGCACAGAGGCTGAGTAGTGGTTCCCAAAAGCCAGGCCAAGTGATACCTAGCTAGGAACATTTCTTTTTAAAAATATAAATTCCTAAGGCCCAATTAAGATCCTGAAATAGCAGATTTGAGGTGGAATCTAAAATTCTAGCCAAGTTTAGAACCCTCTGGCTAGACCAACTTGCCCGTGTTTTTTGCCAACAGCCATGCTCTAAGCTTATAATATGATTACCCTAAAATTTCTTCAAAACTCTATACACATTCCAATTTCTGAATGATCAATAAGATAATTCTAATATAACAAGAAAGTAATATCCCCCACATAGGTTGTTCAAAATTCCGAATTATTTTCCTGTAGAATAACATAACGGACTGTGGTTGGATTCTATGACAAATCACCAAAGACCTATCTACTACTTACAAAAATATCTCCATGGAAAATATATATTGGGTTCTAACTTGGGGCGCCAGAAAAGTCCCCCCAACTCCATGTTGTTCCTTGTATACTTTCGTCTTAGATTCCAGTCCTCATCCTGCTAGTTTCACTGGTAGGATCCCAGTAGTATGCAGGGGTAAAAATCAGTGAGAGTTAATATAGCTTATGCTTCTTCAGAGTTATCAGGAAAAAAAACTAAAGTTATTTTTACAAGAATCCATTTCTGCTAATTCCAAATTGTGTGTATGTAGCTTGAAACAAAACGTCCTTCCCCATCTTGCCTGAATCCTCTCTCCAGGCTTGTCTCCTGCCATTCCAGGCTGCATCACAGTCATCTTGAAATTCTACACTGCCCAAACTTCCTGCCTGGCTGTCATTCTGTGTCTGTATTTTTGGTTAGTCCCTCTGCCTACAACCCTCATTTCTGCAACAGCCAGAAACATCAGGAAATGCTGTACAGGAGGATTTACAGGCAGTTCACACGTACACTAACGTGCCTAAAACTATCATCCCAAACATCCCAAACTCTACCAGTTACTTTCCTGTTCTCCATAAACCACCGAGTAGTGAAAATGAAAGTAATACTAAATTCTGAGTAAACTTTATCTCTAAAACACTTACCTAAAATATTAATAATTTGATAAAAACACAAAAGCATTTGACAGAACATATTTTTAAGATATTCAAACTTAACTCACTTTGCCTATTCATAACATCTTCTTGATTATCAGGAGCCCAGATCAATGCCAAATGTTAATTACGTGTGCTGTTTCCCCATACTTATCTTCCAAATTTTCTCCTAAGTAGATTTTCTAGTCCCAAGTTCACTCTAAGGACTTTCTAAACTATACCTGCCATACGGATTGTCCCACAGGAGCCCAGCGTCGGAGAAACGTAAGAGGCTGCCCGCCCCACCTGTGCACTCCTGGTCAGGTCCCTCACTGCTCATGCCAATGCCCAGTCATTCAGTGCCGATTGAGGCCATTCTGCCAACGGGAATAATGATAGTATCTACCATCAGACAGTATCCGTTATTCTTATAGGCAGAATGACCTAAAAGGGCATTGAATGACTGAACAAGTACTTCCCTAAAGCACTTTACATATGCCTTTTCTTTTAATATTCACATAATGACCCCATTCTAACAAAACAGGGAGCCCAAGGTCAGAAGGCAGTAGGCCCCAGGTGTCAATGTTCATGCTCCCCATCATCCCCACAAGCAAATATTAGACTTCTTGTGTGTGCAGGATATACAGCAGACATATCACGATCTGGTCCCATACACCTCACCTTACCAGATGAAAGTGTACAACTAGTCTCCCTCCTGCCAATGCCCTAGGCCCCTTTTCCAAGAAAAATCCTAAAACACATCACTTCACTCTCTTGATTTAAAAAACCAAGTTGATCAATTCATTCAGTCAAATATTTATCCACCGGGGATACAAGAGTAAAGGTGACTAACAGGCCCTCATTACCTCAGACTACACTGCGGGGAGTGACAGGGTAAAGGGTGGTAGTGGTGAAAAACAGAAGCCAAGGTGTGTGCACAGACTTAAAGCCAGGCAGACCTTCGAGAACATTACAGCCTGGATCTCACAAATTACAAGTGCACAAGCACAAGCTGGTCAGAGAAAGCCCTCCAGGCACAACAGCTGGCCCAGAGGACCAGGGCAGAAGCTAGCTCGATTCATGCAAGGCAAGAAAGGAGGCTGCACTCAGGAGTGAGGAGCTAGTGGTCTCAGATCACGCGGAGGACGGAAGGTAAGCAGTTGGGAATTTATTCCAAGTGTGATGGGAAGCCAATGGGGAATTCTAGGCATGGGAGTAGCACAGTCCAATTGCCATTTTTAACCGTTACTTTGGCTGCTGGTAAGAAAATGGATTGGAGGGGAGAGCAAGAGAGCAGCAAAGAGCCCCACTGGGAGGCTGCGGCCACTTACTGACCTCGTAGCGGGGAGGCCCAGGCCAAGCAGTCCTGGCCTCCACCCACGCCAGTCTCCAGGTTACAAGCCATACCTCCTTTATTACAGAGCATGGGCACAGGTCATGTTTCCTTGTCTATCACCCAGCCACATACACAGGCAGCCGAAGTCAGTGCCATGCCTCTATCTCCGAAGCCCAGTTCCTAGCACACAGCGGACACTACCCTTGAATAAATGAAGTGTGCCACTCTTAAGGCCACTTTTAATCTTGGAATTAGTCTTCTCAAATAAATAAAAAGTCTCATTCCAATAAAAGTCTCTTGAACATGCATTCTTTTGCTAACTTATCTGAAGCAAACAACACAATTTAAACCAGAGTTGGTGTCTATTTCTCACACTTCTACTTACGGTTTGATGCTTTATAACCTCCACAAGACAGTTAATATGAAGCAGGCTTCAGGCTGACAGCTATAAATAATTTTATTCCCAATTTCAAATCTCTGAACTTTCGCAAACCAATCGTGATGGCTCATGCCTATAATCCCAGCACTTTGATCCACTGAGATGGGCAGATCACTTAAGACTGGGAGTTCGAGACCAGCCTGGTGAATATGGTAAAACCTTGTCTCTACTAAAAATATAAAAATTAGCTGGGTGTGGTGGTGCATGCCTGTAATTCCAGCTATTCAGGAGGCTGGAGCACAAGAATCATTTGAGCCTGGGAGGCAGAGGTTGCAGTGAGCCAAGATCACGCCACTGTACTCCACCCCGGGTGATAGAGCGAGATTCTATTCAACAACAAAAAAGAATAAAAAAAAAGGGGGGGGGGGGCAGGAATCAAAGAAAGAGAAACTACAAACACATGGCATTTATGAAGGCACTGGCAGTCGTGGAGGCCCTTCTATGTCCTCAGGCAGTTCTTTACTTAGAAGTGGTATCTCAGAGACGCCAAGACATCAACATCCCCTCGACCTGCTGCCTCATCTGCATGATGCCCTCTGATTCTTCTACAACCCACAAAGGCTATTAAGTCTTCTCTTCCTCCTCAATATTTTCAGGGATTGCTACTGAGTCTGCCCAGGAAGTTTGCTATAATTACAGAATGTCATGTTTCAAAAGCATAAACCTACAAGATTCTGTGGTGAATATTTAACCCTATTTGGACTATCACATGGGCAATATTGATCACAGAGAGGCTTTTATTTACTTACCTAAGTAATGTGGTGGATGAAAAGACATAGGCTTACTAGTCGCTGAATAATATCCAATTGCTCTCTTAAATCGAATAACTTTGTCATCTGTTCTAGACTGAAATAAAGGCAGGAAAATCTTCATAAATTACTGTCACTGGTCATGTGTATCACAATATTTTTATAATTCAGCACATGTCTAATAATCTGCAACTTTTCAAGTTAGATAAGAATTTAGAATGACATTAAAAACTTCAAGGAATATAAAGAGATTATTACAAAAACATCAAACAAATGTGAATTCTTTTACAGCAAGGTAGTTGGCAGAGCAGAACTCCAAAGTCGTAGTCAGGGCCATGGGTTCTAGCTCTAAGACTTCTCTGACTTCCACTCTGCTCTGTCTCTGGTCCTGCCCAGCGAGGACTCTCAAGCCATCTGCACCAGGGAACGGATGGCAGTAACAGACTGAGGATGTGCCTGCCCAGGGTTTCAGCTCTCTAGCGGGAGTTCCACACAGCCTCGCCTACTATACTGATGCCAACTTGTTGGCATGCCTAACCCCCCAAAAAAGAAGAAAATCCCTGACCATCACCTGAAGGAAAGAGACAAATTCAGAGATTTGTAATACCATATGACTGGTTTGATACAGCTCATGTTCTGAAAACTCTGCAATACAGATCCTACTAAGTTCAGATCAAGAATTTAGGAGCAGCAGAGACCTCACCAACCATCTACCTGAATCTCCCTCCTTTTATTCAGGCTGGAAAAGCTGGGTGAGGTGGCTGTGACTTCCTAGCTGGCAGGGAACACGGCCAGGCTACCTCAGCCTCTGGCCTTGCAGCCTGCAGCTTTCTCCCAGAAGCCTGAGGAGATAAGCAAGAGCTCTCAGACCCATCCAGTCAGCTTGCACCCGCAAGTCTCCTTCCAAACCTGACCACACCACTATGCAAAGTCCTATCTCATAAATCTGTTGTTTTTATTGCTTTTGTTTGTTTCTTTCTTTCTTTGTTTTACCTGTGAATGCTGGAAAACATCTTTAGCTATGGCATCCAAGTCGGAGGTGTCTTGAATGTTGCGGACATAGTCAGCAACGGCTTTGATCACTACGTCGCAAGGTGGCAAGACCAGCTGGTGGGCCCGAACCTGAAAAAAAACAAACACAGGTGTCAACAGCAGGTGGTGAGCACCTAGAACCAGGCTAATCTGAATGCAGGAGTCAGAAATTCCAACAAGGAGCTACCATCTAAGACAGGCGTCCCCAAGGCCGTCCCCAAACTGCGGCCCCCTGAGGCCATTTATCCGGCCCCCCGCCACACTTCAGGAAGGGGCACCTCTTTCATTGGTGGTCAGTGAGAGGAGCGCAGTAGGTGGCGGCCCTCCAACGGTCTGAGGGACAGTGAACTGGCGCCCTGTGTAAAAAGTCTGGGGACGCCTGCTCTAAGATAACTGTCAGCGTCTGACGATTGGCCGTCCACCTGGGAGACCTCGGCCCTAAGACTTCCCTAAGTTGTTCACGTCTTGAAGCTCAAGAACGGGATTTTCCTTTCAGTGGATGAAATACAACTCAGCTGCTTCAACTGTGTTGGGTGAAAAGAGCATCTGAGCGCCTTCCACCACTTCTGAGAAGTCTAAGACCTGTTTTCAATTAATTCCAAGCCCAGGACCCGCACCCAAAACAAGCGAAGCACAAAGCAGCCCAGAAAGAAGGGCTTGAGTCACCATTCAGTCCCTTTCTTTTGACACCAGCCAACAAAGACAAAGGCCTGCAGCAGTGGGACTTTTAGATAAGAGCCCAGGACTCCCTGAAACTATAAGCATAAATGCAATTATCAAGTCCCTGAATCCACCTTCAAAGGCCAACTTCGGCTGTAATTGGAGAAAAATGGTATCACTGCCCATTGAGGGACATGTTTGAGGAAGGTGACAGAGAATATCAAATAAAGTGTAGGAACATCTCATTAGCCAAAAAGTTGATACCAGAAAAAGATTAAGTTAACAAGTTGAAAAAGAAGACTAGCTACCTAATAAGAGCTCTGTGGTAGGTAGGACAATGACCGCCCAAAGCTGTCCACATCTTCCTCTCCAGAGCCTGTGAATATGCTGCATAACACGGCAAAGTTCAATGAAGGCTGCCTGTCAGCTGACCTCCAAATAAGAATCCTGTCCTGGATTATCACAGGGTCCACAAAACGTGGAAAAAGGAGGCAGGGAAATCTGTGCACAGTGATGTGGCGTGACAGGGCCTCAGATGCTCGAGGCTGAACAAGCCAGGATCCTCCCAAAAGCCTGCGGAGGGACCAGCCCTTGTATGTTAACATACAAGGAAATGAATGTTGTCTTCATGCCTGCTGACACACATTCATTCCACATCCCATAATGGATCAAGGAGTAATTTTGACACTCAAGTCTTATTATTAAAGAAATACATTTCATCAGGCTAGAATTGCCATAGATAATGACTCCTGTGATGCATTTGGACTAAGCACATTGAAAACCTTTTGGACAGAATTCACTACTCTAGATGCCATTATAGCCATTCATGATTCATGGGAGGAGGTCAAAATATCAACCTTAACAGGAATTTGGAAGACATTGATTCCAACCCTCATGAATGGCTTTGAGGGGTTGAAGACTTCAGTGGAGGAAGTCACGGCAGATGTGGTAGAAATAGCAAGGGGACCAGAATTAGAAGTGGAGCCTGAAGATGTGACTGAATTGCTGCAATATCATGATAAATCCTGAATAAATGATAAAGTGCTTCTTACGGATACGCAAAGAAACTCTTTTTGAGATGGAATCTACTCCTGGTGAAGATGCCATCAAAGATGTCAAAATAAAAGCAAAGGATTTAGAATAGTACATAAACTTAGTTGATAGAGCAGTGGCAGGGTTTAAGATTCACTCCAATTTTGTAAAACATTTCTACTATGGGTAAACTGCTATCAAATAACATCGCAGGCTATAGAGAAATCTTTCATGAAAGGAAGAGTCAACTGATGTGACAAACTTGAATGTTGTCCAATTTTCTGAAACTGCCACAGCCATCCCAACCTCTAGCAACCACCACCCTGATCAGTTAGCCGCCATTGGCAAGACCCTCCACCAGCAAAATGATTCCAACTGACTGAAGACTCAAGTGATCATAGCATTTTTTGACACTGAAGTAGTTTTGATTAAAGGATGTACCTTGTGTTTCAGATGTAATGCCATTACACACTTAATAGACCATAGAACTGTGTAAACATTTCCATTATATGTGCTGAAAAACCTAAAATCGACATGACTTCTCTGTCACTCCCCTCCAGGCCCCTGCTCTTAATCTCCACGTGTGTGAGGCGGCGGCTGCAGAACAGCAGAGTCCCCTTTGGTAAGTGCCTCACCTTTCCAAGTCTCTGTGGCTGAAGGAAGCACAAAACAGGGGCATATTCCAGTGAGTTATAAAGGCGTATTAGGTTACTATTACTTTGTTGTTGAGGATCATGAGTATATTAGCTAACACATCTTAGCCAGATATGCTTCCGAGCATTTTATATATAGTACTGTATTATTTCTCACACGTCTATCACAGCAGCCCTTGTTTGTGTTAGAAATGGTACCCTCCACAGGGTTCTGAGTGGTCAGTTACGGCCCACAGGCCACTGGCAAATGGAGGCAGAGCCATTGGCAGCAACAGAGGGCCTGCTACCCACCACGCAATGCCTACTCAGCTGCTGCTGGCCCCCTGTGGGCAGCAGTACTAGTGATGTACAGAATCCTGAAACAGTACCAGCGAACCTATGGATACCCTGGGCGATCTGGATGTGCACTGCTGTGGTGGACTTTATGTTCATGACATACAGCGGGAAGAAAAGAAGAGTCGGCCCAAAGGGACTCAGCCCAAGATGAGGTCCACAGAATGGCCAGATCCAAGATGCGGCTAGCACCCCAGGCCGGTGGTAGCCTAATGTCACCCATGCCAGAGGCCAGTCTGGCCTTGAACACTCCAAACCCTCTACTTGACGGTTCAAATGAAACAAGGTCTTCCGGCCAGGACTAGGTGAGCTTCTGAAAAAAGAAAAGCAGGCCTCCTGAATTTCCCCAAGTGACTGAACAAAGCAGGCCCTGCATGCTTCACAGCATGGTGGAGAAGATCTTCTGGGGCAAAGCAGATGATCTGAATGACAGAATTGGCCATCAGCAACCTGCAGAACTGTCCAACCAAGAAACTGTGAGATGGAAGCAATGCTTGCAGTCAGAGAAGATGAAAAGGCCAGAGCAGGCAAAGACAGTAACAGAACAGGCCACAAATACTGGAGTGAGGAGAATGACCTCCCTGTCCCACACACCCCTCCAAGCATCCTGCACCTGCTAGACAGCAGTAGAGACCATTTGAAGGATGAGGACTCGGCAATGAAGTGGAACAGGGAAGCAGAATATGGTGATCCGCTAGTATCCTGGCCACAAGTTCCTCCAAAATATGTGGATAGTGACGGTGACTTACGTGCATCCTTCAAAGGTCCTCAAGGAAAGACTGGAGCAGCAGATATGCAATTGTGGAAAGAATTCCAAAGGAGTAAAGAATGCACAGCACAGATCCAAAGTCTGATTGGCGAGCAGACCTCTCTGCAGGGAACAAGGGCACAGCTGGGGAAGGAACTTGCAAAGCTACAGCTGAAGCTTTCCACTCTGCCTGAACTGCACTGAGAACCCATGATGAGTCCTCAGTAGGAGTCCATGGAGGAGGATGACTACTGCCTGGACCTAGATCAGAGACTTTGCAAGGCACACAAGTACTTAAACTGCATGTGTCAGACCTGCAACTGCTGGAAACTGAAGGAAGACACTTTCGGTTTTCAGAGGGAGATCCTCTTCTATAAGAAAAGGGCCCAGGAAGGCTGGATGGCTGCCATGTCCACTGAGAGTGCACTCAGGAGTGCCAGAAAGAACACCACCACTATAGACAGAAGCTAGCTGACTGTGAAGCTAAGTTTCAGCCCTTCCCAAGTGGTCCTTTGGCTCCTGGGACTCCGCCCAAAATCCGCAGGGACCCAAAATCCCCTGGCGGGAGACTGGGCCCCCAGGAGGGAGGCAGGTCACCATGGCTTGGGTCCAGAGCACCTACCTGTTTGATTCTGTTTTCCCTGTAATCAGGTCCTGAACACCTAGAGACTCGGCAGAACATCAGCTGGTGCTGCTCCCTTTAGAGCAGATTTGGGTATCTTGTTTCCTACTGTTCAAGAGTTGATGCTGAAACTGCTCTCATTCGAGTTTGATAGATAGCATTGGGATTGATCGTAAGGTACTGTTTATCAAATGAAGATTGTTTAATATAATTCTTACAAATACATTGTTTCCACATCTTTGGGCCCTCCAAAATTATATAGGATAAGTATTGTATTTTCATTTAGAGAAAGGGTCCCTCTTAACCTCAATGTCATGTTGTTTGATATGGATGGGAAGGTTTAAAAGAGAGACAATTTCTGTTCTATGAGCTGTTATTAGAGAAGAGTACATTAAATTGGCTGCGATCAACTTTGGTTTGAACACAATGCCAAAATACTCATAAACAAGACCATACCATTCGAAGATCGTATTTTTAATAGTTTGGTCCTAAACTTTGTGGTTTAATTTAGGCAGGTGTTCATTTTGCCACCATTGCTTCTTGTTTTGCAACAGGCACCTGCACCTGGGGAGCCCGGGCCTTGCGTAGCAAACGAGCCAACCTTCCAGGTCAGAGCAAGCAGGAACAGCAACAGGCTCTCCCCACAAGTAAAGAAGTTCATAGGGAAGAGTGCAGGGCCTCCTGTCTCCAAGGGGCATGTGCAGCCCATGACAAGGGCTTACATCCATGATACCACAAGTAACTGGGCAGCCCTGCTGCACTCCCATCCCACTTCAAAGTAAAATCAACAGAACCTGCTGCTTTTGCTCCTGTGGATATCCTCATCATCACTGTCCCCAGCCCTACAACACGCAGCTAAAAGATCCTTGAAGTGAAGAGCTGCTATAACTTAAAGTGTTCTCTAAATTCTTCTGGGTGGCTCAGTAACATCAAACATGCTACCTCTGGTTTAATGCTGAAAATATTGGCCCTTTATAATTTGCTGACCATGCAGCTGCCCTCCCCACCAGCCGCCCTCCTCCACCCTGCTCCACAGGCAGCT